TGTTAATACTAGACATTCGWCATTCAGTTCTTGACGATTAATAATTTCTCTCGTCTATTAATACTAGACATTCGACATTYAATTCTTGACGTAAGTGGCGGACACGTGTCTTTTTTCAGTTCAATGTTTATCAGCTGGTCGGTGTGCCACTTAGGCGGGATCATCTAATGRCTCTTTTTATGTCAACAATTRTATTGAGTACGATGTTAATTTCCGTGTATGACTCTTGTCTTTATTATTTTGGTATTTTTTACAAGTGCTCGCTTTAAATTTCCTGTAATTTTTCTCTCGTCTAATAAAAAAAAATGAAACTTCTCCGTCCTTCCTTGAATTACTAAATGAAATTCTCCTTGAGTTTTATGTAGATGTACATGTTTTGCTAAATTTTCGTGCTATTTTGTACCCATTCATTCATTCATCCAGTGTCTAKTCGTTCATCCATTTTATTCGTTTGTTATTCACCCAGTTTGATATTTTTTTTCTAACATGTATTCAGCTGGATCCCTTGGTCATCCATTTTTCTATGTATAAATTCATTCTAGCTGATCATTTCTAAATTCGTTTCATATATTGCTTGTCGGTTTGGTTGTCATCAATAGTGTACTCTCTTTACCAGTGCACATAGCTGATTGCTTGCAATGGTTCTTCGGAGCGATTCTCTTTGACATCCTTTTAAAATATAGTTCACATTATTCAAAAATATTAGCCCACATTTGCCGTAGTATTTTAACATTGTTGACTTTGATTTTAAGCAATGTCAAGAAACGATCCAGTTCAACAAAGACGGTGCCAGGTGACAGGGGATTCTAATTTCACAAATATTAAACACATTATGTGAACCTACACGGCAGTCGGTAATTATACCGACACATTCGGCTTATTTATCATATTGTTTTCTGTTTTGACATCCATGAGGTTGTAATGGTTGTAAATCTATAAAAAACATCATTTCACTAGTCAGTGCATTTGTAAGCCGAATATCATCTACAGGCAGGTCATTTGAGCGTAGGTTGAATCATCGCTATATCGTACAGGTTCTTTACTCATTGCATCTATGGCAAACTCATCAGATTGGGATTCGTTTTTGTGGACAATGTTGCCAAAAATATACGATTTTTGTCAKTAAAAACGACGTCCYGTTTTGTAAGACGCAAGGACTTCCCATTTATGTAAATAAACACAGTTCACTTCTGTATGTGGTCACTATTTTTATTACTAGTAGACAAGCTAATGACTGACTACAAAGTGATGAATTTTACAATGTAATAGAAACAGTAATTGTAGTATATCTTCTACTTATTTTCAGTAAATTAAATGTTAAATATACCTCGGTGGTCTTGATGCGTCCAGAATTTCGGTTTCATTTTCGTTTTTGTGTTTGCATTGAAAGCAGTCGCTACACTACCTATATCGCTTTCAAAGGTCTCACGATCAAAAATAGGAAAAGTGGATATCAAATTCAAACTAAAGCCTGTATTCACATTGATTGGGCSTTTAGTGACAGGATGATGGCCTTTCCTTCCTGGTGCTGTTTTGGTGTGTTTTTGACARTCGTGTTCACATGTTTTCTAGTGTCAATATCATATTGTTTAGTTATTTTACATCGTTTTCTGAAAAGTTAATTCCAAGAAATGAACCATTACATGRACACTAACTCGACGACAAAAAGACATGTTTTCTATTGGATGAG